CTGTCCATTTTGCTTTTTCAGTCTTCCTAGTATATAGTCTTGACATTATAAAACTTTAAATATAAATAACAATTATTTATGAATAACAAATAAATATTTAACAAACAATATGTGTAGCCAAATAAGTAAAACTACGAATGGGGTAATACCGCGCATTAAAAGTATGCGCTCCATTCCCCGACTAGGATGCGCAGCATTACCCCAATCGACTTTTGTTATATAATCAATATACAATAAAATGTGTAAAATAATATTATCTCGTTGGCGATATATTAAATAAAGCTGAGAAAATTCTCTACAAAACTATATTTTAATATGTTAAAAAATAATTAATTACATATAACTTACCACGTTACGAAATCCAGTTCTTTTATTTAGTTTCTTTTGGAGATTAATGACCGGCTTGATAACTCACACTGAAAAAAATACTACATGTAAAATTGACAAAATGGATTTGTAGACAATTAACAAAACTAATATTTGTTCCAGTAACAATTTTTTATTACGCTGATATACATTTGATTGAATGAATAAAAATATTTGTTATACATTATTGAAGTTGTATTGTCAAATTAACAGTACTCTGTTAACTCAATAATAGTTATGATATTCGTACAATAAAATGATTTTTATTATTTTGATATATATTTGTTAAATCTACAAGCATATTACTCCCAACAATCAACTACCGTATGAAAACGATAAAATTGTACTGTTAAATTTAACGTACTTTTTAAATTCGGGGTTTATTTTATTAAATCAATATGTCATTTAAGAATACATTATATTTACATAATATGTTTATGTTTTCAGTTTCATGATTCTTTACGCGCAATCTGTGAAGTTTGATTACGTGATGAATTTAAATGAGTTATAAAAATTATTATTGTGTTATGTGTACTTAATTAGATTGATACTGAAAAAATATACCAAGTAGCATTATATCGTTGTTTTTGTTATACAAATTGAGTTAGTTTTATACAGTAAATAAGTTTCATGGCGATAATACATATAAATATAATACGTTCAACATAACAATAAGAGGAAGGTAAGTTTACTCGTATTAATTATTTTTACATTACAATTATAACATATGGATTGAAAAGGTACCTATAACACAGTCTTTTTACACTGTCCACGACTTGTGTATATTTTCCGTAACGTGCTGCGTAAAGCTGGGATCCCACGGCACGTGGCGAATCGCGAAGCGTGACGCGCGCGTGGCTTCTATGAAATTACTTAACTATCGAAAATTCCAAGGGGCATGTGTGTACTGTATATACTAAAATTACATATGCTACACAAAGGCCCATTTCACATGGACGCATTTCATTCACGTGAGTACCAAACACGCGCTTTTCTTATTAAATTGTTTAAATGTTTAAGCATAGACAGCAAGAGCAATACGCGTCCCAGTCACCATGGCGCCTAAATGCGAATTTGACGAGGCGCGCGTGGCTTCTAAGAAAACCATCTAGCACCACTGTCATTGGTCCGTTAAGTACACATAGTCTGTGAAAACAAAGAAAAAAAGTTATAAAAATCAGACGAGACCAACTGTCCTGTGTCCAATCTCATTTCATTTCTAAAGTTCTACACGTACTTACTACTTATATGTATCACATTGTGTCTGAAATGAAATATAAGTTATAATATTCGTTTTCTGTTCGTTTTCATACATCTTGAAAGTTACAAGGTAAGCAAATTATTCAATAAGTTTTATTGTTTTCTTCATTAATACCACTTCTATAAATTAATATGCTTTTTTATCGATAGAATACCTTAAAATAAAATTATGTTCTATGTAAACCGTGTAGAAATATAAATTTTTGGCTGAGTAAATATATGGAGCAATATATGGCTGAAAACTTTTAGAGTATTTTTATATCAATATGCTCGAAAGAAATGAATTGTTAAAGGCAGGGCTCGTGACTTATAATGCTAATTTTTTATTAAACAAACTCATTTTCATTCAGCTGGTATTATATATCCCATTATTAACTGAGTACAAGAAAAATTGTAAGAAAAAAATTATAAATTTTATAGAAACGATAAATTATTTCTCTAATAAAACGACTCTGAGAAGAGCTTCAATTAATATAATAATAATTTCGGTTAAGTTATAGTTAACAAAATGTTATTTAATGTTTGTACTCGATAATTGAGTGTGCGCGTGCGGGCGTGCATGGCGTAGTACGTACGTACATGTGTGTGTGTCAGGTAATAGAATATGTCTTAAAAAAATACTGTGATTAATAAAAATCTATTTTTATAAATTCATAAATCATCAACCATTCTATTACCGTCTTCTAATGTTTTTCCGGAAATATTTGGGTTATGAGGTATTTAGGCTATAAAACCTTAAAACAATTTTATGTATTCGTCCGTAAAACATATTCTTACACCAAAATATTCGCAATGTAATTCTCCATCTATGTACTATGTTTCATAAAGATCGGTTAAATCAATAATTTCCTATATACTTTCAAACGCGGTTTTATGTAAAACTAATGAACTCTGTCAAAATGCGAACTTTAAACAGTTATAAATAAGAAAAACTTGACTTACGATTTTTGATATTTTTTAGTAGGTACTACTGGTAATACATATGAATAAATTTGTATTAAATTTCCAGATCTTATAATATCCAGACATTAAAATGTTATGACTAATATTTTTTTTTTAACATTTATTAGAAAATATACAATATATATATGAAAAACTTGAGGAGAGATGGTTTCTAGCAGCATATTTAACAAAAAAAAAAAAAAAAAAAATTAAAATACAAACTAATATAAAATAAAATAAATTTAAAATAGGTATATATATATATTAACACAACATTAATTTTATGATTGTCAAATACCAAAAATATTAAGGTGTTCAAATAATAACTCATCAAACCTAATATTCACATATTGTAAGATAATAACAATTTTTAAAATGTATAATTATTTTTCTTTGTAGGTTTAAGTAAGATATTGAACTGGTATTTATCTATTTTACATCTGCAGTTTTGAAACAAGTATATTACAGGTTTCTTTAAAAATAGTAATTATTTTTCTTTAGCTAAGTTATAATTATTAAGATGATTTGTTTTATATGTAAATCTGAATTTTCTAACCTAAAATTATTGGTGGTTCATTTAAAAATTTTCCATTTACTTAAATCATACAGTACCTATGAATGTGTAGAGGAGTCTTGTCATCAGGCTTTTCAATGTTTAAATAGTTTTAAAAGACACATTTCAACTAAACATATTTGTCGTGATATAAATATAGATAGTAGTTCAATAGACAATTTTAATAACATAAATTCAAATGCAAATAAGGTCAAAGATGAAATAGAAAATAACACTGAAATTCCCATATTAGATAACCAACCTAATTGCTCAAAAACATCTCAATATTTTGATTTAGATTCTGCGATTAATTCTTTATATAAATCAGCAATTACGTTTTCTGGCGTAGGGAAAGTGGCGCTCCCATCGCCCACTGCACTTCTATAAGTACACTGCAGTAGCCCTACCCTTACCTTGATTGGTTGGGGTAGACTGGTCCTCCAGGTTGGGGGTTAAGCGCAGGGTTAACAACCCTGCCTAGTAAAAGAACCTTGTTATGAAACCAACTACACCTAAGCCTCGGACAAGATTACACGGATTCAAGACTGGTTTTTGGAAACGGAATACTGATTTTAAGATTGCGACATGGAATGTGACAAGCTTGTATAGAACAGGTGCAAGTCAAAATTTAGCTGACGTCCTTAACAACTACAACATTAAAGTAGCAGCCATACAAGAAATAAGATGGTTGGGAGTAGGACAACTAACGATAGGAGAGTACACAATTTTCTTCTCTGGAATGGAGAATACACATCATCTCGGTAATGGCTTTGCAGTTCATAGGACACTAGTACCGTACATTAAGGAGTTTAATCCAGTATCCGAACGGATATCAACCTTAACCATCAACACTAGTCCAATTAGTATCTGTATAATAAATTGCCACGCACCAACAGAAATAAAAGATGACAATGTGAAAGATAGCTTCTACGACGAACTAACTGATACATATGAAGGTATCAATGGTAATATGATAAGGATTGTAATAGGTGATTTCAATGCAAAATGCGGACGGGAAACACAGTACTTCCCTTGCATAGGGAAGGAAAGTTTGCATTGCAACAGCAATGACAATGGTCAGCGATTGATAGCGTTTGCGACATCAAATGGATTGACTGTTAGTAGTACCACTTTCTCACATAAAAATATTCACAAAGCCACTTGGAGGTCACCAGATGGAGAAACCCTGAAGCAAATCGATCACATTCTCATAAAGACTAGATACCGTAGTACAATCCACGATGTAAGAAGCCACAGAGATGCTGACTGTGACACGGATCATTACTTAGTGATTTCCAAACTTAGATCAAAGTTAAAAAGCCAATCGAGATTAAAAGACAAAAGAGCTAAATTCAATCTAGAATTACTAAGAGATGAAACCGTGAGGAAAAAATATGAGAGCGAAGTAAAGAAAGAGCTTAAAGAAAATAGCGTACAAATAGAAATAGATGTAGACTTGGATTGGGAAAAAGAAAGTAATGCTGTCAAAAAAGCAGCGGCCACTAGCATTGGTGAGCTAAAAAGGTCAAGAAATACTTGGTATAATGATGTGTGTAGAATTGCTGTGGACAAACGTCGCAAAGCGAGAGATGACTTTATTAAGAACAACACTCAAACAACTAAAGAAGCTTTCATTCGGGAACGTAAAATCTGCAAAAGCGACCTTCAAAGGGAAAAAAGAAAATTCTTTAACAACATACTTCATACCACAGAGAACGATCATACGCAGGGGAGAACTAGAAATTTTTTAAGAGTCATCAAACAGTATAAACAATTCAACCCTATATGGAATGCAATCAGAGACCAAGACGGACAAATGTTAATGGAGCCAGAGTCAAGAGCTGAGAGATGGAAAGGCTATTTTGAAAAATTACTAAATGGTAACATGCCAGCCCAGCCTGTAACACATGTCGAATATGAAAGACCGGAGCCCTATGTAGAGGATGTTAGTCTAGATGAAGTAAAAAGTGCTATAATTGG